GGCAGCGTTGCCGGCGACGTTGGCGGCCTGCCTGAAGGCGTTGAGGCCGGTCTCCAGACCGGTCTGGGCGGCGAGGGAGGCGACGTTGGTGCCCTGCTGGACAGCCCTCAGGCCGGTGGCGATGCCGGTCTGGGCGGCCTTGGCGGCGGCGTCGGCGGCCTTGAAGCCGTTGGTGATGCCGGCTTCGGCGAGTTCTTCGCCGGCCCTGACGACCTCCTGGGCGATCTTCAGGCCTTTGGCGATGACAGCCTCGGCGGCGAGGGCGGCGGCGTCGGAGGCCTCCTCGGTGGCCTTGAGGCCGGTGGCGATGACAGCCTCCTGAGCGACATTGGCGGCGTCGGCGGCGGCCTCCTGAGCGGCGACGATGGAAGCCTCAGCGACGTCCTTGGCGTTCTCCACAGCCTGAAGGACGCAACGCAAATGTTTTGGTTAAGCAAGGCGACCGTGTAAACATTGCAGTGGGTCACGTTCGGCACGACATGGTCATTGCATCTTGAAACGGCAACCGCAACGGACAGCACTCTCATCCTTCAATCGACATTTTATAAATATTCATTGACGTTTGTGCGCATTAATACAGCTTTGTTAGGATTTTAGGTGTGTGTAAAAAACAAAGGAAAAGTTACCGACTCTCAAAAACACGTCCAATGTACTTTGGAACATTTTTCTAACACTTGACCGTCTCGTGGGCCCATGCTATAAGTTAATGTTATATTTTTAGAGTGTAAGTAAACCTTAATGGGCACCTCCACAAATGTCAGGGGACTTTTTTCGTCCCATGAATGATGCAATTTTAAGCACATCCGGTGGTGATGCAATTTTGTGTCCGCCAGGCGGAACAAAATTGCATCATTCATGAGACAAAAAAGTCCCATGACATAAATTAGTGTATGAGACCTCAAACGGAAATTGTAAATAGGAATATTGAGTCTGCAGTTTGGCTCCGCTTACGAAACGTGGGGCATTTTGTCTCTGCGCGCCTGCACTTGGATTTGCGTTGCACACGTTAAACGTTTAGTGTGTGCGTGGAAGCGGTGTAATTTTACCTGTGTGACGTTTTTTGTCAAACTGTGCTCAATTTTCGATAAATACACGCATAAATTATGCAAATTCAACGTGTGCACAAAATCAATCAAATTACACGCATAAATTATGCAAATTCAACGTGTGCACAAAATCAATCAAATTAAGGGAAGGTGGGGTTCAATGGGACGCTTTTTTTGTTTTTGGCCTAGATCCGAGACCGTTGGAGCTAGAATGCCGCCCGATAGCTCAAAATGTTCTTTGTTTATTTGTCTATGACTTTTATTTGACCATAAAATTGAATATACGGCATTTTTGGTCTGTGGAGACATTTTGCCGAAAAGTGTCACTTGTCCCATTGTGCCCCGGGCTGGGGCACAATGGGACAGCCTTGGGGCACATTGGGACACATCCTTTTATGAGCTAAAAATAAAGCGAAGGAGCATTCAAAAAATTGTGGGCAATAGGTTTTGATCTATTTTCGTCACAAACTATTTTAAAAAAGAACTTACGTTCCTGGTTGCCTTAAAAAAATTCCGGAGTATGATGTGTAACAAATGAAGAAAATGCAGTGTTAAATACAGTAAAAAAGCGCAAATGAAATGTTTGATGCCAAAATTCTTGTGAATAACATAATAAACGTATGGTTTGGCTTCATTTAAACATAAACTACAACTAAAACTTGGAAGCCCTTTGATTAACACGTCCCATTGTGCCCCTAACGAGGGTGTCCCATTGTGCCCCGAACGACACGCTGGACTGGACACGCTCTAGCTCTTCAACCCCAAAAGCCAGAGCGCCCAGACAAGTCTCACTGAACCTCAAAAGACCAACGAACACACTGGTGAACTCGCTACGAACGTGCGACAAATACTTTAAATGCTAGATGAAAAACAAAATTCTCCGGTCTTGCTAGTTTTACCTCGTTTTTCTTACATTCGCACTTTGCTTCGACCTGCCGAAAGAACGCTCAGTCGAATAAAGTTCCCGCTTTGTGAAACTAACATGGCAACTGCTGGCCTATAATCGAGCGTAACCCGCAGATCCTACGAACACCGCAAGGTGGCTAATTTGACAGTGTCCCATTGTGCCCCGTGTCCCATTGTACCCCACCCTCCCTTACACGTACAAATTTCTACATAAACATGAAGTGTGCCGTTTCGTTTTGTACATACCTGAAGTCCAGTGGCGAGGGCGTTGACGGCAGCGTCGGCGTCGACGGCGTCAGCGTTGTCGGTGTCAACGTCCACGTTCAGGGTCACATCGCGGGTCTGCCTCCTGAGGAAAGCGGGGGTAGCGACGCCGGAGAGGAAGCCGGAAGAGGGGGCGAAGTTGCCGGCAAGGCGCAGGCCGTTGCCCAAGAGGCCCTGAGCGGCGGCGACACCGTTGGAGCCAAGGCTGGAGGCCTTACGAATGGCGTTGAGGCCGCTGGCAAGACCAGTCTCGGCGGCGGCAGTGGCGAGGTTGGAGGCCTCCTCGAAGGCCTTCAGGCCGGTGGCAATGCTAGCCTCGGCGGCGCGGGCGGCGGCCTCGGAGGCCTCACCAACGGCTTTGATGGCGTCCTGGCTCACGCTCAGAGGCAGGTCACCCACCTGACTGTCGACAACGATGGGGCTGGCCGAAGCCTGGAACAACACACTGGTTTAAAACCCACCTGCCCCAAGCGACCACTGTGGGCCAGAAGAACGGTGGAGGCGGGCAAAATTCTAGACGCGTCTTGAGCTGGTTAGTCGCTAAAGAAACTAGAAACGAACGTCCGACTCCACCAATGGCCGAACGAGGAATCAATTGGAGGGTCAGACGTCGGATTCGAGTCCCATTTTGCAACCCTGAAGCTCAAAACCCGTCCGATATTTTGACTGCCTCCATCGTTCCTCTGGCTTACAGTGGAAAGGTCCTTCGTCATTTCGCTGTACGTGCCTTCATATTTCGAGACCGGACGTACAACACAATGGTCCAGACCAGTAACTAGAGGGACTGTGCCTTTACTTTTAAAGATCCGGGCCTTTGGATTTGAAGGCACCTCTTTTGCAAGAGTTTCGTGTTCCTATCAACCATACTCACCACGGCGCAGAGCGCCAAAGCGATGCACAGGAACTTCATGGCTTGGTTTGAGGACGGGAGGGCGTCTTGCTGTTTCTGCGCCTCGACGCTCCTTTTATACCGCTCGGTATGCGAGTCGAAGACGTCATTGCTTGGGAATATTTCCTGGCGCGAGTGCTGTTGACCCAGATGGCGGAATGTTCAATCCAATTCTGGAATGCAAGCAAAGGCGAACACCTGTTTCAACTAGTCCCGTTGTTTGACCTTTCCGAAGACGTTGGCAGTCGGCACATGGTGACAACGGCCTTGTGCTGTCGCTGTTTGAGGTGGCGAACGGATCTCCTCGCTCCGCCAAGCGTCACTCGGAGCAATGTCGCTGTAAACACTTGCAGAAGGGATCCCGGACGAGGCAGATGAGAAGGGCCCTTCTCCCGCAGTGGTTTGAGGCGACAGACTGTGTTGTTTTAAAAGAGCTCCAATCATTTCACTGACGTCAAAGTGGCAACGATACCTCTCCGGCTATTCGTTGCCACCTGTGCTTAGAAGCCTTCAAAATATCTCCCCCCCCCAAAAAAAAAAATAAATAAATTAATAATTAGTGAACTTGTCCGACTAAGGAGAACGCTCCGGCCAAATGCATTGTCCCGATTGAGGTTGGTCTCTTTAACAGTTTCTAGAGGAGGGATTTAAGTTAATCTGAATCCACGCCTATGAACTGTTCTCGAAACGACTACCTTAAATTTGGTACAGCCGCGTTTTGGGCCTGTCCAAATCTAGTATTGATAGGGCACCTGAAGGCGGGTGGTCGGTTGCATGCAGAGTGCGTGCGTGTGTGTCGTCTGTCCGTCTGAGGTCCACGGATGCTTACACTGTATAAAATAACTTGAATTTTCTTATGCCAGTGGTCCAGGGACTTATCTTAGCCAAACTTCAAAGAGACTTTAAAGCGCCAGTGGCTCGAGACAGGATCCTTTTCTCGGCCACAGCTTCAAATAAATTGAGCCAACGGCAACTCCAATTTCAAGTCGCACCGCGAAATTTACCATTTGGCTAAGGAAACGAAACTCTTCTCGGCCACAACCTTAAATTAAACGAGCCATTGGTAATGGAAAATTCTAGTTGTTGCGCACATATGACATATCTGCATAAACCGTGGGACAAAAAAAGTCCCATGGCATTTAGTGTGTAGCCACAGTTGGAAAGTTTCAAGTTGTGGCTATTGAAAGGTAGCTTTGCCTCGCCATAACTTGAAAAGTTGTCTTCTGCCAAGGTGAAGTACTGAGACCGGCCGAATAAAGGATCGTATAGCCCTGTAGGCCTTCGGTCAAGACGCACTCTAAGAATTTTTCTTTGTAAATTTACAACAAAACTTCTGCAAAATTTTTTACCACAAACTCGTTGTTTTTGAAAATTACGACACGTTTGTACCTTAACAGGCAGCTTTGTTTTTTTTTGCGACAAAGAAGGGCAAATTTTTTCGGTCCTAGAAGGCTGTTGCCAAATAAAACCATGATCATCAAATGAATGAAAAAGTCATCGTTTTACGACAACTTGTAAAGTTTTGAATGCTTTTGTCTTTGCCAATTTACAGCAAAAGATGTAAAATATTGAAACACAGGTCTATCTGGTGGTTTTGAACCTGTGATGTTTCACTTGCGGCGCACGCTCTTTACCACTGAGCTACAAAGACACTGTAAAAAAAAATTCTGAAATTTCAGACAAAATTTGACTGAAGTTAATTGACTAAGTAAGGGGTTCTGAAATTTCAGACCATTTCGGCGGTCTGAAAATTTAGAATAGGGTGGTCTCAAAGTTTAGAATAGGGTGGTCTCAAAGTTTAGAATTGGGTGGTCTGAAAATTAAGATTTAGGTGGTCTGAATTATTAGACACGGCCAGTCTGAAGAAAATTCAGACAAAAACACAAAATTGTAACGTTGAACCTTCACTCCATTGCGAGGGAAGTCTTTGATGTAACTTGCGCGTAACTTATCGGCCGTTCTCTTTACTCGGATACTCCGAATATCTTGGTATTCGAACCATCGAATCCTCGCTCGTCGGCTTTGCGGGTTATCCATTACACCACGGAACCGCTCTGAGAGCACGGCTGCAGGATGCCGATGACTCCAAGCGCGCTCGCTGGACGCTGGGAGGCCACAAATAAACAAACAAAGCGCGTGTTGCGGGAGTTAAACTACGGACAATTTGGGCTGTTCGTGAATATTTAAGATTCTGTATCGAGCGCTCAAATATTGCGGTTAAATTTGGGCAAATGAGGTAACCAGTCTGACATTTTAGAACAATACGTCTCCCGTTTCAGACCCATGGTCTGAAAATACACAACCAGTTTGAAATTTAAGATCAATCGGTCTTCCTTTTCAGGAGAATAGTCTGAAAAGGCGATTCAGACTACATGGTCTTGTACTTAGTCTGAATTTTCAGTCACCCCTGTCAGACTTTTTGTCTGGATGGTCTGAATTTGTTTTTAAGACTGCGAAAGTCTTAAAATTCATCCGAGGATTCTTCTTTTGAATACTTCTGGTCTTAATTCAGAAATCAGACCACCAGGTCTTACAAAATTGGTCTGAATTTTAAGATTTTTTTTAACAGTGGACATACAGGAATCAAGGTGTCAGCTGTACCATGACACTTGAAGCGCACCTCCCCTTTCTTTTTTCAGAGAAACTCCGGTAAATGAACAGGAAATCCAATTTTTTTCATAAGTTAACGGCATTAGTTGTACTTTGCACTAAACAACAAGATTATAACCCAATTTCTCTCTATTAATGTACAACAAGTGTTGTACTGTCTAAAGATAGTCAGGGCTGTAAGCGACAGATTTGGAACCAACCTTGCACTTTTTGGCCCCGGTCTGGCGCTTTGCACGGGTGTTCTAGAGACCCAAAATAACGATTTTAGAGTTGGAGGCACTCTGGGAAACGCTGCAGGGACCGCTGGGAAGTGAAAATCTACTTTTTGTAGGAAAATTCGTATGAAACGCCTTACAATTTCCCGAAATCGCCGCTGCATGCGTATATCTCGTCATATGTGGACCCTTTTCTGTCTTTTTAGCTTTACAAATTCTGCTTCATCATCGAGCTTCAGTAACCAAGACGTAAAAGAGTGTCATTATGTCATTGGGGAAATATCTCTCACTAATGAGCACACCAAAATTAGCTACAATGTCTTTGAGGTTGCTGAAAGTCCAAAGTCATTTCTCTTGATGTGTGTTGGGGTTGATGCTTGTTTGCTGGGGCCGAACACTCATTGAAACTGACACAGTTGGCACGAAGCGCCCCCTAAGAGAAGTATCATAATGTTTTTGCAACGCGAGAAATATTGTTATCAGCTTTCTGGCGTGGTAACTCTTTCATTTTACTTCAATCAGCAACACGCCCGTGTTCAGTAAACATCTACGTCTTCTCTTCGGTTACCTACCCTCAGAGCTTACATTACAAGGAAGGTTTACGCCAGACCGCGTCTTGTCGTTACAGGCTTCGCGATGTCTCGCTGCCTGTTCCTCCAATCCGCGCCTGGCGTACAGTCGACTCTGTCATTTTGTCCATTTCTACTGTTGTCATTTTGTCCACAAGTCATCCCCACTACTTTGGCTGGACGGGCGCCCCCGGCCGGTGCCTGGCCTCGCCGGTAGGGATTACGGCGGCCTAATCCGCCCAGGCTGTTTTCATTTTGTCCGCAGCTCCTCCCGGGTAGGTGGACAAAATGACAGAATCGACTGTACCTACCTTGGCCTACGGCTTGTCCATTGTCGCTTACTGCCAACTTGTTGCATGCTTCCCCCCCCCCCCCCCCCCCCCACCTCCCTTCCTTCTAGATACAGTTGCTTCACCTACGGATAACGCGATCTTGACCCCTGTAACTTTTTTACTTGTCGGGGCTGGGGGGCTCCGCTCCCCGATTCCCCCTTCAAGACAGAACTGATCTGCCTGCAGAAAACTCGATTTCTCGATTTTTCGCCCTTTTTTTAGGTGTTTTTTGACTATAATAACTGAATCAGTTGAGCTAGGATAGTGAAATTTCTCGTGTGCTGAGCCAAGGACACACTCAAAAAGTGCGCTAAATCTCACCGAGATCGTTTGAGCCGTTCAGGAGGAAGAAGGGGGAATGGGGTAATTCCGGACACGGGGTAATTCCGGACACTTCGATTTTCACTGGGTTTGAGTGAAGATAACTCAAAAGCCCGCCTAACAGAGGAAGATAATCAGTTAAAAATGATAATTCCAAATCGCCAAGGTAGGAGGTCAAACCGTTTGGCTGTGGTCGCTTCACGAATTTTGAGTACCATCAAAAATAGGCAAAAGCTGCATCTTTTCCCCGTATTTCCATGTACTTATCGTACCTTACCATCAAGTTCAGTCCCATGACTAAAATTTTATCATATTATATGGTCATTGGACTTTACTTTGGCGTTTCGGGAGTGCTCGTATGGCTCGCCGTTTTCTTACAATTGAACATCAAAGGTTTTCACTACCTGTGGGGTAGAACCAGACAAGAAGTATTATTTTCTTCAATTTCCCGCATCATATTAAGGTAGTGGGTTCAAAATTGTGGACATGCATCCCCACCGTTACGAAGGATAAAGAAAGAACGAAAAATAGTATTGCAGCTATGTTAAAGAGCTTTACTCAAGACAGTGTTGTCAATTTAGGGGTTTTGATAAAAAAACTATTCCTTATAATATGCTTTGAGTAATAATCAAACACTTCAGTTCGCAGCAAATGTCCTTGTACGCCTTCTAAAAGCATGCCTGCCATCAAAACAAGCGAAAGTAAGCTCGAGTAGTGTCAAATTTTAAGGTCGTCCGGAATTGCCCCATAGATCGTCCGGAATTACCCCAGGCTGGGGTAATTCCGGACACGTGCAGGGCTTTTGTTAGGCGCCTATATATCCCTAACCGTTGCTGAGATTTGGCTTTCATGTATATCATTGTGAAGGTAAAGGTCCATACTTTACTCTCATGTAATAACATTTGACCCAAGAAGCATATTCAAGCTCAAAGATCAAAAAGAAAAAAAGCGTCCGGAATTACCCCACTCTCCCTTAGTGCACTGTTAAAAAAAATATGAAAATTCAGACTGATTTCGTCTTACTTGGTGGTCTGAATCGTAAATTCATAAAATGGTACAAATATTAAGACCAACTGTCTGAAAAGTTTGACC